TATCTATCTATCTATCTATCTATTTTTGTATATATATAAAAGCACTCTACAAGCCAGGCGTGGTGGCGCACGCCTGTAATCCCAGCTCTTGGGAGGCCGAGGCAGGAGGAGTGCTGTGAGTTCGAGACCAGCCTGGTCTACATAGTGAGTGAGTTCCAGGTCAGTCTCAACTACATGGTGAGACCCTGCCTCAAAAAACCAACCCCCCCCCAAAAAAAAGCACTCTACAGGGACATCAGGGTTTTGGCAGGGGGTCAGGTGGGGGTCAGGGAACCTGGGTAGATGGGAGACAAAGGCCAGAAGGAGGCACTTCATCACCTACCTTTTGATATGTTTTTTGTTTTGTTTTGTTTTGTTTTTTTGAGACAGGATCTCACTATGTAGTTGAGACTGACCTGGAACTCACTATGTAGTCCAGGCTGGTCTCAAACTCATAGCGATCCTCCTGCCTCAGCCTCCCGAGTGCTGGGATTACAGGCGTGTACCACCACGCCCAGCGCTTAGTATGTTTGTTTTTTAAATGCACAATTTATTCAAAAGGTACCCCAACTCAGTGGTAGAGTTTTTGCCTAGCACACAAACCAAAACCAAAACCTAAACTAAGGAAAGCACTGACATATCTTCATGAACATATTCTTCCATGTAAGATTTAGAGTAAATTTATTGGACCAACTGAAAAATAAAACAAAGCAAAGCCTAGTTAGGATTGAGATGGGGATAAAACTCTTGGTTTTTTTACTTCTCTGCTCCTTCCATCAAATCTCAAGAATGCAGAGAGCTGAGGGCCTGAAGCTATAACAAAACTTTCCAGGACTGGAAATAGTTAAGAATTCAAGAGAAAGTCTCCAAGTTGTTTATAGCTATTGATTCTCATTCATTTATTCATTTATTGTGGTACTGAAGGTTGAGCCCAGAGCCTCTCCAGTGAGGTCCAACCTCAGGTTTTAAAAAAATTTTTGAGACAATGTCTTGGGAAGTTACTATATTTTCCCAGGCTAGCCTTGCACTTGTGATCCTTCTGCCTCCGCCTCCCAGAATGCTGGTATCACAGGCATGTGCCACCATGCACGGCTTCTAATCCACTTTTTCATGTTTGTTTTATTAAGGAATCCCATCTCTGCGGAGGAAGGAAAACAAAAGATCCAATGTAAACCCATCCCTGAGCGATGGCAATGTGAGGTAAAGCCTCCTCACCCACCTGGTGGCAGGATGTCTTAACTGCAGGCTGAGCACTTCAGAGAAACTGAGTTCAAGAATCCAAGACCTAGCAGTAGGGCATGCTTTGAAAACTGGTTTGTTCTGTTTATTTTTCCTAAACATCTTTCCCACTTCTTGTCCCAAAGAATTAACTATTCCAAATTAGTGGAGTCAGTCAGAAAGTAATGACATTTTCCATTAATAGGCCTCAGACTAAAATCATGGAAAATCCACTAATTATAGACTATCCAGCTACCTAATCATGACTTAGATCCAGGCCTCTGGGAAGAGGGAGACAGAGGGAGGAGGAAAGGCCTTGGATGCAACCTGTGCTGGACGGTCCTTCCTTCCTGCACCACTGCCCTTTCCCTGGGCCTGGGGTCTCGGCACCCAGTGCTTCCTGCCGCTGGGCTTCTATCCCAGGCTGAGCTAGGCCCCACATCAAGAGCTGTGTAAATCTCCAATCTAAATTCCTGGAAACTCCAAAACAACCCAGGGCGGGGTGGTGGGGGTGTTTCTGTTTAGTTCTGGGAAGCAGTTTGGAGGGTGGTTCTGGGAGAAGGAAGAGGGGTAGAAAAGACAGACAGAATGCCCATTATACCCAAGCCTGTCAGTTTCCTTTTCACATCTCTTTATCAGTGTTTGTGACTGAGCTTCTTATCAACAGGAAACGCCTGCTTGAGGGGATGAGGCAGGTCCAGGAGGACCAGGAATTCTGGGTAGTGTGTTGCAGTTGGGTAGCCTGGCCAAGCAGTTTTGCAATTCCCAGGAGCCAGGCTCTTTGCCTTGGCATCTGATGATTCTTCGATGCATAGAAGAGAAAGTAAAAGCTCTCTAGCCACAGGAATATACCGTACCAATCTGGCCCCAAAGCCAGAGGGCTTGTTGGAGCCCTAATAGGGACTCTAACCCTGACCCTCTATGACCAAGGGCAGGTAGCCAAACAGCTCTAGTTATAAAGTGAGGAGAATTGCCTCTTTCCCTAATCTTCACCAAACACCTCTTTATCAGGTGAGGAGAGGCAAAATACCTGCTAAGATCACATACAGCTTAGTGACAGTCATCCCTACTGGCCCTTCTGGTGGGGTTATTTCTGAGCCCTCAGACTGGTGCCTGTGTTGGGTACCCACAAAGGGACAATCAGGTGCTCTGCACAGGCTGCTATATGAAGGAAAGGAAGGGGTCTGCAGCACCAACTGACCTCTTTCTATGTGCCAGGTGACTTAGAAATATTGATCGTCAAACAAGGATCCTGATTGTTCAGATGTGTCTCCTAGGAGAGCAGAAGATGGAAAATCAGCTTTCCTGGGAGGCAAAGATCGAATATGAATGCTGCAAATAAATGCCCATAAGGGATATTTTGGCCAAGCAAGGCTTCTGGGTGGCTGAGAAGCATAATTCTATCTATCCAGACATCTGTCTTCAAACTGGCAGAAGACTGAACAGCAGGTACAGGAAATGGCAGAGCCAACAGGGAGAGGCAGGAAAGGAGATGGGCTACCTGGCTTCTCATTTCTTACTCTCTGCCCATGGGTTGCTCATAAGCAACTAGTCTTTGCTTTTAGTGATGGTGGTGACAAAGGAGATTCCAGTGTGTGTCTTGCCCTGCTGTGTCTCCCTGGACAACCCCACTCCCCCCCCACCTCACCATTTGCTCCTGCAGCTGGGGATGTAGGTCATTAAGAATGGGTGGGTGAGAAAGAACAGAACAGAGACTCATCCAGACATGACACCCCGCAGGGCAGCAGTGACAACACTTGAACCTGAAAACTGCCTGAAAATAGACTGTGTCTATGACATTATGCAAATCATATGCAAAGTCAAGAAGCCCTCTGTCTCTATTTCTAGCAAACTGAATGTGGCCCTGGTGGAAGCAGCTCGTTCCAAGAGTCGCCCACCCAGAGTGATGATCACACAGCTAGCAGCAATCCCAGCCCTGGGATACTGGACTTGGAACGTGCACCCCTGACTCCAGCCCTGGGGTGGGCCTTGCAGGCGTGAGCACTTTGTTGTCTTCTAGACAGTTTATCTTCACACCAGGGAGGATATGGAGGAAGCAGAGCACCCTCCTGGAAGGCCAGTTTGAGTCAGGACAGGGGAGGATGGTGCCTGGCAAGGTGGCGAGGACTGTCTTTGAAGGCTTAGGTAGCAGGAGGCCTTCGCTGGGGAAGGGGTGATCTTCAGCATCAAGGCTTATTTTATTAGTACATGTTCGCAGTAAATGAAGTTGACATTCATGTTGAGGAGTAGGTGCGTGTACATGACACATCTTGTTCCTTTTCTTTCTTTTTTTTTGGTGCCGGGGATCGAACTCGGGACCTTGTGCTTTTGAGACAGGCGGTGGAACACTGAGCTAAATCCCCGGCCTTGTTCCTTTTCTTAATCCCCTTCCCACCCAAGCATCAAGATTTATGCTTCAGGGGCTACCTTCCCCCACCTTGTCAAGCTTCAGCACCCGTCACACCCTGGACAGGGCCCCAACCTCATCCTATACTGGTAGCAAAGTTGGAGCCTGGGGTCCCCGAGGAAATTAGGGCAAAGATGTCAAGAAGCACAGGGTCAGCAGTTCTTCCTTCAGGGGCAGGCAGGCTCTTTGGGGGCTCTGTCTGGAGGCAGGGGTTCAGGGCTCTGCTGACCTGTAGGGCAACAGGCCAGTTTTGCTGTCCTAGATCCTGCCCAGGCCTCACAGAACTTCGGCTCTGCAATTTTCCTACTGCCTTCTCTCAACTTTCCAACCACATCATGACTGTCAGGGCTCAAGTAGAAGAAACAGATTGGTGGACACAGGAGGAAGGAGGAGGCTGCCTTTGAAATGCTAGAAACACTCCTGTTAGTCCCCCCAAAGCTGGTCTGAGTCCTCTGGAAGACACTGTTGTCGGGGGGACCTATGACCCCAGTACAGAAAGCTGAAGGCATGGACCGACTTACTAGAGCTGCAGGTGGTCGGCTAAGTCTTGCGTGGGAGAAGGAATTGGGGCCCGTTTCCCTAAGAGGGACTCTAATGCAAAGGCACAGATTTTCTAGGCTGGGCTGTCCCCCGACAAGACCTCTTCCTCTTTTTTTTTTCAATAATTGCCTTCCCCTTGGACTGTCATGCCCACAATTTCAGGCAGTGCGGTGCGAGGTGCTGCCTGAGCCTAAAAGGTGGGTACCCTGGGGGTATGGAGCTACTCCTATTTGAGGGAATTGAAGCCAGGGAATTGAGGAGGAAGGGTCCAATCTGCTTCTGAGTGAGGACAGAACGATTCTTGCTAGGTGTGGTTTTGGGGGAACAGTCCCTGAAAACCCGCGCGCAGGGCAGCGGCTCAGGTCCCTAGCCTGCCGAGAGAGGCGCCGGGGAGGAAGGCGACCGCTGAGCAGCCAGCAGAGGGCGACGTGGAGGGCGCAGCAATCCGGCTGCTCCCGATCTAGGGTTTAACTATGATGTGAGCCCCCGCTAGGGGGCTGGGTAGGAGCCTTTGGAACCGCAGTGTTGGGGCGTGTACCCGGGACCCTCTGCTCCCGAGCCCCTCCGGTTCATTCTGGACCATTGCAGAGGCATGAGCTTGGCAAGACTTCTCGGGAGCTCAGGGTTCAACCTTGGTTTATTGAGGACCCATTATGGGGTAGGCACAGGCTAAATGCTCCCACAAACAGTATCTCCAGGTAAGAAAAATGTCATTTCCGTCCTGGGAAATCACCTGTGGTGGTAAAGAAGCATTTTCAGACTGCTCTCTTCAGTGGCTTCCCTCCACCTTGTTCCTCCTCCTCTTCCTCTCTAGACCTTCTCCACTGAGGGATTTTCCAGTCTTTGGGAAGCTGCTGCCTTCAATTTCTGCCCTGGGAGTCTCTGAAGGACTTTGACCCAAAATCCAACGGAGATAGAATCCTTCAGGCAGGAACCTTGACTCCTGAGTGGGATGGATTTCAGCAATCAGAGAAATTGCCGACTCTGTCCCAGTGATCCTGGAACTCAGCTGGTATGTGTTGCTTTTTGTTTTCACCCAGTTTCACTTCCTGGTTATCCTCTGGGCCTTGCACAATGCTGGGAGACAGGCAGGCCTGGGAAAGTGCTGAGACAGGGCGGTGGATGACACACCACAAGTCCAGCTTGTATTTGTGGGAGGGGGCATAAACTTTCTTCTCTGCTGTCCTTAGCCTGAGTCCCAACCCTCCCCTCAAGTGCTGCCTGCAACCCACCTCCTCCAGCCCACCAACCCCACCAGGGCCCAGGGTCACCTGTCAGTACACGGACAACTACCCTGGACAGGTGCATTTTGCTATCTTTTTTTTTTTAGTACCCGGATCAAACTGGGGTCCTTGCACTTACAAGGCAGGTGGCGGCACCACTGAGCTAAATCCCCAACCCTGGAAAGGTCCAAATGCTAGATTTTCTGTATGTTTTTCTAGGGCCACCAATTCTGAGACATTCTCTAGGACTTGTCCAAGAATGTGGGCCTGGGCCAGGGTCAGGGTCACTGGGGAGCAGAAACCTAAGTACTGTAGGCTTCTTGGCTGAAGCACAATTGTGCGCCTTGGAGACCCTAGGGGAAGTCACCCTCAACCCCAGAAAGCCCAGAACTGTCTGAGAACTACCAAGAATGGCCACCGGTATGGCTTAAGGTAAGAACTGGAGCTTGCAGAATTAGACTAGGAGGTGCTCCAGACCTCTTGGACTCCAATACAATTATTTTCAAATACCACCTTGAGGCATATTGCTAGGGGCCAGGCATAGGAATAGGTGAAACTGGTAGATTTAGGTCACACAGGCTGACATTCAAAGTAAATCAGTGGTGGAGAGGCCTTAAGGGATGTCAGTCCAAATCCTGCAGTGTGTCAATGAAAGACAAACATCCTGAGATGGAAGACCCCACTGGGGTGGCATAGAGCAAGTACCTGGATCAATACCAGAGTCCCCTCACTCCCACTCCTGCTGCTTCCCCTTGCATACTCTTTATGCATAGCCTGATGTCCTTTCAATTATTCTGAAAATCCGGATCCTTACCTGTTTGAACAGTCACCTCTCCACTGCCACACCCTCAGCAGGACCTCTACGTGCTGGATTTTTTGTTTTTGTTTTTGTTTTTTTCGGTACCAGGGATTGAACTCGAGACCTTGTGCTTGCGAGGTAGGGAGCAGAACCACTGAGCTAAATCCCCAGCAAGACCCTAGGGTTTTAACATCCTAACAAGGCAACCAGGATGGTGAAGGGACAGGGGCCAGCAGGGTCAGGCCCCAGCTCTTCCAGGCAGCTGGCATTTGGTTAGCATTTGTCTTGTCCAGGAGTCAGAAAGCTTAGATATAAGGCCATGGAGAGTGGCCCTGGGTATCTGAGGCTTGTCCCAGAGGCCAAAGCCTAGCAGGGCTGGGCAATGCCCTATGCCACCCTGGCAGCTCTGGCCAGGTAGTAAAGTTGACCAAGGGCGAGGGAAAGTGCAGGCCCAGGCTCTGAGCCCAAACTGGGATTCCCTAGGCTTGGCCTCCCTGGATCTGAAGCCTCTTTTGTGTTCTGCCTTGGAAGTGGTAGGGGGTACACCCTGCTGGCATGGGGGTAGGGAGAGAGCCGGCGTCAGGAAGCCGGCCACTTTGAGTGGGCCAGACAGTGAGGGGATCAGATTTCATCCCAGTTGTATTTTTGGCTGGATGGGCTGGGGGCCCAGCTGGGCAGGTGCAGCTGCCACGGGGCAGGGGGGGGATCCCCCCAGCACACATATACACACTACCTCTACCCAGATAGGTCACTGTGCCCTGCTGCCTCACCCTGCAGGCCGGAGTCCAGCAGTCCTGGGCTAGTGAATCACTTTGGGCTTCTCTGAGCCTTGGATGAGTTTCTGTAGGGTCTTCTTGATGCGAAGTGCAGTGAGGCGGGCAGAAGGGTTGGGGTACCAGCACTCCCGCATCATCTGAGCCAGGCCTGAGAGGACCTGAGGGTTGGGAGAGGGGCAGAGGAGAGGAAGCAGGGACACGAGTCAGGGAAGATGGAAAGGAGACAGTGAGACAGATGGCCCAGGAATGGAGCGACAAGCAGTAGAGAAAGGACAGGAAGAAGGCGATGAGAATGGTGCACAGTAGGCAAGAGGAAAGGCAAACAGTGTGGGTCGGGGAGGGAACCAGGCAAGGATGTGGAGAGGAAGGCAGTGGCGTGAGAAAGCGGGTAGGGGAAGGCAGAAAGCATGCTCAGGTCTTCAGGAGCCTCGGAGCCCCTGGGTGAACAGCACCTGTGGAACACCTTACCCCACCCCTGCCTTCTCCAGGACCCACTGAGAAGGGCAGCTCTGCAAACCATGGGGCTCCTGCATTCCTCTCTGCAGCTTGAGACCCCAATACACGAAGCAGTGACTCCCAGCCCTTGCATCAACCATAGCTGGGCCCAGTGGTCAGAGGAAGTATGGGTGGTGGGGACCCCCACCACAGAAGCTCAGTGGGTGGTGGGGGACCCCACACACACAGCCAGCCCTACCTCCTCTAGTTCCTGAGAGTGAATGTATGTATATGTGCACAGGAATGCATTTATGTGGCTTTTTATGGATATATAGTGTGCAAAAAATGTGCCTGTGTTGTGTATACAAATGTATATATGTTTAGTAATTCCCTCAGTAAATAATTACTGAGCATGCATTGCCTGCCAGGCACTGTGATATGTAACAGGGACATAAGAGTGAGCAAAAGAGTCATACTTTTTGTCCTCATGGGGCCAACAGTTTGGCATGGGTGTCTGAGAATGTGTATTTAGAAACATTCTTGTGCCTGTATGTGTTTATATCCACATGTACATGTCTTTAGCAAACTCCAAGCAAGAAATGCAGCAGAAACCTTCTGACTTTTTACAGGCAAGGTGAATGGTTCTGAAAATCTCATACTGACTAGAGGATTCTGAGGAGGTGGAGTCCACATGCCGTGGATGTGGGAGAGAATACGCAGGGCATCCAGAAATGTATCCAAGAAGCAGAGGCCTAAGACACAAGTCCCAGGGCCGAGAAATCCCAGCTGTGATCCCCAACCCATGCCATTCCAACCCCAGCCTCCATCCCAGCTCCAGTAGAAGCCTCACCGGGTCTACAGCCAGCCGGTTGGGGATGGTGGGAGTCTGCTGGTCAATACACACCACTTTCTTCATGTCCTCAAAGCTGGGGTCATTGGGCACCATGTCGTAGAAGGGTGGCTTGTAGTCCTCTACAATACCTGGAAATTGAGAGGGGATGAGACGATCACTTGGGACCCAATGAGGCCACATTTTACCCAGAGGACAGCTTTGCCCGGCCTCTGTCCCAGGGGCCAGGAAACTAGATATCTGGGCATACTGTCCCTGAGAGGGTTATTATAATAAATATACACATTGCTATTAGTAATTATTACCTTTGTTTTGTACTTCCCATGAGCCAGTCATTATGCTATAAACACTTTAGGTGCATTGTTCTGTTAGTCTTCACAACAACCCTGTGAGATGGGTACTAGTTTCACCACCATGTTAGAGACCAAGAAACCGATGCTTAGAGAAGTTGAGCTCAAGATTACATAGCGGGTATTGCATAGTCCAGCCGATGTCACTGGAGTCCTAGGCTAGCTCTTGTTCCAATCTTTCCCCAGCTGACTTCTACCCAGGCTTGGGTACTGCTCCCTCCCTGTCTTTGACTATTTCTTATGCCCCACAACACCTAACCTTTACTGATGACTTACTGTGTGCTAACCACTGTGAAATCCTCACAACAGCCAAAAGAGGTATGCAATACTCTTAGCTCCACTTTAGAAGCCAAAAAAGTATGCCCAGAGAGTTTAAGAAATTTGTCTAAGATCAACAAGTAGTAAATGACAGAGTTAGGATTTAAACCTAAAACTCTAATGCCAAAGCTCTGCTCCCAAGCTCCAAGCTCCACTTAAGGGAGGGAAGCTAATTGATTGCTGGGTGAGAACTGGAAAAAGACAAGATACCTCTCCAGAGAGAGAGAGAGAGAGAGAGAGAGAGAGAGAGAGGAGCTATATTATGTGTATGTGCCCACTCCCCAAGATGAATGTGAATATCACATACTGCAAATGTACTAATAAAAGAAAAAATATATAAAAAATAAAATAAGTTTTATTTTTGATGGTGGGGGGAAGAAGACACTCCCCAAAGAGAAAGGAATTTTTACCCCGGTCCAAGTAACATCCATCAGGGAAGGCCCTGATGGTCTCCACATCACCGCCAGCAGCATCCCCGTCCTGCCCCACGTCATCCCACATGCAGAGTGCGTAGGAGCTTTCTGAAAACTGTGCCTGTGGAGATACGGCAGCCCCATGCCCATCCTGCTGGGGGCTGTGGCCATGCAGGCCACAACCTCATTGGAGCCTTTGCCAGCTGCTCTCCCCATGGCAGGCTTCCAAGCCGCCCCTGTGCAGCTCGTCCCTAATCAGTGCTGCGCAGAGGCTTGAGCGTGTCTAATGAGCGTTTAATCAGTGCCGGGGCTGACACCAGATTACAGTGTTTATAATGCACTGTGAATCTGTGTGGGGTGATGGAACTTCCCCCTTGGCCCAGCAGCCTACAAACAGCCACCCTCCCAGCCCTTCCTTTTCAGCCTGCAGGCTGGGCCAGGAGGCCCTTGGCTTTGTCTGTGTGCCCCCTCCTCCAGCCGTAGCCTCCTCCAGCCCACTCTGGGTGTCCAGACCCAGGACTGGGAGCTCCTGGGGAGTCTCCCCAGAGACCAGTGGCACCTTGGTCTCTGCTCTCAGCGCATGCTCAGTGAGGGCAAATGAAGTCTGGCAAGAGGCTGGCAACTGGTAGATGCTCAAGGATAAAAAGATTCCCGTTCTGTAGGAGCAAGGCTCCAGTCAGGTCCTGAGGGTTGTCCTCAGCCTTTCAGGACTGCTGGCAGCTCCTGGCCACGGACTGCCTTCATAGAGCCTAACAGTGCTCCTGCTGCTGCGGACAACCTGCCATCCTCCGTCCAACCGGGGCTGGACATCACTGGCCACATGGCTGCCTGGGACAGGTGCCTCCACCTGCTCCCAGCCACTCCAAATCAGAATTTTCTGTGGTAACCCACAGTCAAAACGAGGCCACAGTAAGCGAGCAGGTGACAGTGACAGCCTGTGGCAGTGATAGCCTGCATGTTGGTGGGTAAGGAAATCAAGGACCACAGAGGTTCAAGTGTCACAGTGATAAAGATCACTGGCCCTAGAGTCTGACTGCCTGGTTTTGGACCCTGAGGCTTCCTCCAGCCTGCTGTAATTCTTCACCTCTGTCTCATCTATAAAATGGGGATAATATTATATCAGGCATATATTCTGTTATAAGAATAATGGCTATGAATATTGAGCTCCAGATATGGTTCCACTTCTCAACAAACAAAAGCTATTTTTATTCTCATTTCACAAATGAGGAAACTGAAGCACAGAGAGGCCATATAGATTTTCCATAGTCACAGCAAAATCTGGAACTGGACCCAGTAAATCTGAGTCCAAGCTTAGGCCTTAACCCCTAAGCAACATTACTTCCCTGTCGATACAGGGGATTTAAATGCGATAATACCTATGGAGTACATAGCAGGACACATATTGGACCTCAGTAACTGTTAGCTGTTATTAATATTTCTGTTATCAGTGGGTGAAGGGAGGGCAGGGGTAAGGGGAAAAAATGAGAATCAAGACTTGTCATGTAGAGGTACAAGATCCCAACAATGAATGTAACTGTACTGTATCCCTAAAATGTACCAATAAACTCAATTAAAGCTGAAAAAAAAAAATTTCTGTTATCACTAACCCAAGATTTCACAGCCAGATTCGTAGACCAGATGAAGCTTAGCAGTTCACTCAGCTGAACCAGTCGGTGCGTGCAGTGAAGGGAAGCTAGGAGGTCTAGTCACAAACCCCTCAGGCCATGGGCACCCGTCACAGCAGGAAGTCCCATCTCCACCTGCTCATTCCTCCCCACCACACAGTGCACAGCAGGTCCTCACCGTTGACAATGGTCCGCCGAGTGATTTCCCACAGCACCAGGCCGAAAGCCCAGATGTCGGTCCACTTGTAGGACTCAAAGCAGTCAGTGCGGATCTGCTCATCCAGCACCTCAGGTGCCATGTACCGCTTGGTGCCCACTCTCGGGTTGTTGCCGATGTCCAGGTAATCGCTACCCTGGGAGTGCATCACAGCCAGGCCTGTGGGTATGAGGCCCGTCACTCCTGCCACTTACCCTGGCCCACACCAGGGCTGCCTCTGGGTGGGGATGGATAGTGACAGGGAGGCAAAGAGGGGCAGGCAATGGGAGACCTGCCCTGAGATGGCCCAAAGACAGCGGCAGAGGAAGACCAACTGTCCCAGTTACCGTTTGTGTGTGGTTTCTAGGAACCTAGCAAGAGGTGAATACACAAGGTAGGTTTTACTATGCCCAATTCATAGAGCAGAACTTGGAGGTGTGGGGAAGGGAACAATGTAGGCAGTGAAGCGAGAATGAGAACCCAGGTTCCTGGTTCTCTGTCCCTTTTCTCCCAAGTCCAGGGTGGGTGGCAGACGGAATCTGGGCTCGGGCAAGATGTTGAAGCAACTTGTAGGGCTCTTGTGGAAGTGAAATCAAATAGGACACCTTTCCAAGTTTTTACAGCGCTAATAACTGCAGCCACCCACCCCCACCGAAAATAGGCGGAGGAGAGATGGAGCGCGAAGACGGTGCCCCACCCCCCCCACTTGCCTCTCCCCGCACAGCTCACCCAGGTCCGCGATGCAACACTGAAGGTTGCTCTTGACCAGGACATTGCGGCTCTTGAGGTCGCGGTGGGCAATGGCTGGCTTGCCCTGGGTGCCGAAGATCTCCACGTGCAGGTGTGCCAGGCCGCAGGCTGCGGATACAGCTAGCTTGAGGGCCAGCTGGGGCTCCAGCGTCTGCCTCTGCAGGAAGTCATAGAGGGAGCCGTGCTCGTGGTAGTGTGTGATGAGCCACAGCTGCGTGCTCGAGTTTCGCGAGGTCATATCTGAGGCGATGAAGCCTGTGCGCGGAAGGGTCAGGGAAGCTTAGCCACAGGGCTGGGAGGAGGACAGCTGGACTGGTTAGGGGCAGGGTAGGGCTGGGGGACAGGGAGTGGACCAGGTCACGGTAAAGGCGGGACTTGAGTGGAAGTTGATTGGATTTAGGACTCTGGTCAGATACTGGGGCAGAAGCTGGGCTGGGACTCCTTCCGGATCAGGGGAATGTCCAGAGGCCTGTGGACCTCGAGCTCGAGGGCGGGGATAAGACTCCCAAGCCTGTCACTGGGTTTGTCTCCCTTGCCTAGGATGTTGTCATGTCTGAGCAACACTGTATTGTAGATCTCCGTCTCCCGGAACCAGGACTGTTCATCCCTCGAGGAGAAGATCTTGACAGCCACACTCTCACCATGCCACAAGCCCCGCCACACCTCACCATAGCGGCCCTTTCCTGATCCATTGGCCAGAAAGGAAGGCAAGGGTTATACGCTAGGCACAGAGAGCCTACAAGAGCTGCTCCCACCCATCTTCATGCAGTGCAGAACCCTCTTGCAGGACCTCTGGGTTTATATGTAACTTAATCCAGACCCAAACCCAGCTACAGACCACCCTCATCCTTCAGAAGGACTGCACCCTGGCCCATTTCCAGTCAGTTCTTGGCCCAGCAGAATTCCCATTCTGACCCAGGTCTGACCCTGCCAATTACCCTGGAAGCTAAGCGCTCCCTCATCCCTCCAGGTTTGTGGCAGCCCTTAGCCCCCATCCCCTGGGCTCACCCACTGCTCACCCACACACTCCACCAGGGTGACCTGCCGTGCCACCGTTCTCTGCACCAGGAAGGGGAGCCCTGAGCCACTGCCTGTGGTGCAGCTGCTATCCAGGAATTCCTGAGGATACCAAGAAGCTACTGAAAGGCTGCCATGGGCCCCTTCTTTGTCCACATCTGGATGCTGCTGCTGGGTCACTGCATGCTCCTCCCTCCCCTAGTTCCCAGCCATCTATAATCTCTGGGTGATCCCCTCTGATTCTGCCGCTCCTATATCCCTGCCCGCCACCCTCAGTTCCAAATTCCTCCAGACTCTTACCCCGAACATGTTGTCCCTCTGCTCAGACGATTTCAGGACGAGGCTGGAGTCACCCAGGTCACTGTACAGGCCTCGCTGCTTCTCCTGCCTCCGCCGGACATGCCACAGGCCCAGAGCACCCAAGGCCACCAGCACTAGCAAGGCCAGCACGGGACCCAGGATAAGAGGCAGCTGGCTATCTGCTTTTGGCTGCTCCGGAGGAGTCTCGGTAGCTGGAGGAGGGGTATACTGAGCCCCAGCTTCCACCAGGCCAGCTCCCCTGCCCTCAGGCCTAACCATTCTGCCAGTCAGGTCCCAGCATTCCGGTGCCCAACCCCCCACCCCTCACCCCCCAGAGCACAAGAGCAAAGCAGGGTGGGGCGGGGTCTAGGAAGATGGGGAGGGGCTGCTGGACATACTCTCCAGCGACAGGGAGACATTTTGGTTGCAGAAGGAGTGGGAGCAGCAGAAATGGTTGGCGAACTCGGTGGCACGCCCCCAGCAGAGCTCCTCATTCTGGCTCCCACAGCCCTGGAACTGCCGGCGGTGACCCTCCTCATCCAGAAACAGCACCACTGTGCACCAGAGCCCCTGGCAAGTGGTATCCTTGCAGTGTGGGCTTTCACACATACAGGTCACCAACTGCCTCTGAAAGGGCTTCACAGGGTTCCCTGGGAGACACAACAGAGGCTCAGCCACTCTGGGCACAGATGCCCCAAGGTGAGCTTAATGCTTGTTTCTGCCCCACAAATGCCTCCACCCCCACCCTCTGGTCATCCCTCAAACAAACCTCTGGAGCCTTGATCTTTTACTTTCATCCCCCAATCGTCATTCCCTCACAGCCTTACAGGAAGCTCCTGCCCCCTGCCTGGTTCCAGGACCTCTTCTCCCGGTGCCAGGCCTGCCCTGGCCTCAGGCCCTACTGCTTTCTAGGCTTTCCCTGCCAATATTTGCATCCCTCCACCCCATATATAAGCCAGATGTGGTTCCCAACCTGGAGTTTGACAGGGCACCAGCCTGATGGTTTCTATCAAGAGGACAGACAGCAAAGGATAGTTGGGGTGGCTGAGAGCTGAGCCTAACTGAGCTTCTTAGTGCCTAACTTCAGCCAAGCTCCCATCCTCCGGCCCCTAACTCCTCAGATTCAGTCCAGCAAGAGGGGAGCTGAGCTGAGCTGGATCCCCTTGGCCCGTGTTCCCAGCTGTTCTCCCCATACTCACCCTGGGTCAGGCCCAAGGCCATCAGCAGAATCAGAAGGCCCCTTTTGGGGTGGGCCAAGGTCATCGTCCCTGGAGAGGGGAGGTGAGGTAAGTTCTGAAGATGTGACAGCTGCTGACCGTGGCTACCTCCTACCAGGAGGAAATCACTGGGAGTTTTTTTTGGTGGGGGGAGGCAGTGAGTCTACCTCTCTACTCCCTGCGTCTGGCTTTGGGGCGGGGCCTGCAAGGGAAGTCCTGATTCACTTCCCCATGGAAACCATCCTGTTAGGGGTGAGGGTGGCGAGCCCTGTTTGAGTGACTGAGACTGAGGGACAGCAGCTCTGCCCCCCTCTGCAGAGCTCAGGCTGGAGGTGGGCTGGGAAGGCCAAAGGGGGCCCAGGCTGGGGTGCCAGGAGCAGCTCTTCAGCAGTCCTCTGTGTCCTCTACCTCCTGCCCACCCCCTTTCAACCTCCACCCTGCCCACTCCTTTCCCAGTGCCCCCCCCAGCCCTGGCTGCCTCAAATATAAACAGGCTCCTGTCTTCACTTCCTGCCATTCAGGGTCCTGCCAAGCCGGGAACAGGAATCAAGATTGTTTAGATTGGGGTCTGGATAGAACAGGCAGGAGTCACGCAAAGCAGGGACTTAAGGGCAGATTGTCAGAGCAGAGCTGCCGGGTCTGAAGGAGCCACCTGGGGCTGAGACACTCACCTGATGAGGACACCTGGGAAATCACAACATTCAGCCCCTGGTTTTAGAGAAGGGAACTAAGGCTCACACAGGGCAGGAGGCTTGCCCAGGCTCAGACAGGACTCAGTGGCAGTAGTAAGAGTCCAACCCATGTGTTAACTCCCAGGAACAACCATGTAATAACAGCACAGAGTGTGGACAGTGCTGGGTCATGCCAGGTGTCAAGGAACCTCTCTGCCACCTCACTTGAGTAAAAGGGGCCTTTCAGAACTGTTCCCTGGCCCCTTCTCCCTCACTGCTGTTCTGGGAAAGGGTTGGGGGAGGGCCAGTTATGTAGGAGAGGAAGTGAAACACACTTAAGACATGGAATGTTTGACCTCCTGTGGCTGGCAGGGGTGACTTTGCTAGGAGTTTGATGGAGAGGGTAAGGGGAATTAATTCTCATCTATGATAGTCCCGTCTCAGGTCCCAAATCACTAGTGCTTCAGAAGCCGCTCTTCACTTCTCAAAGCTTTAGAATGAGAAGATGGCTGGAGTGTGGGTCAGTGATGCTGTGCTTAACAAATTGTGTGAGGTCCATCCCCAGTACCCCTTCCCACAGGAAAGAAGGAGGATAGTGGTCAGACATTTCTGAATGGCCGAGCGAGCGTACAGGCGCGTTTGGGACTGATCCTCGGCCAGGGCGGCTAACGTGAGAACAATGCCGGTAGGGCCGGGTATGTGGCTGCATACGCTGCAGAAGGCTCACTGTGTAAAAAACGGTGCCAAATGAAGACCCAAGGTTCTGGGGCTCGGAGGGTGAGGTGGCTGGGGGCAGGGTGGGGGGCTTCATGTGCCTCTGTCTCATGGCAGCTCTGATCTTCTTGCTTGGGCTTTCTCTGCCCTAGAGGCCCGATCTGGGGAAGGAAACAGAGCCCTGGGCTGCTTCAGCTGCGTCCCCAGCCTCTGCCTGACCTCCTGCCTCTTGTCCATCCTGATAGCCAGTGAGGACTCTGGCAAGCACTCAGCAGTGGGTGCTGGCAGCTGGAAGGAGAAAGAACCCCAGGTAGGCTGAAGCTGCCTCCTGGGGAGTAGGCAGGAAGCCACCCTTGGCAGCCTTCATCTACCCAGGCAGGGGCTAAGAAGAAAGTACGAGGCGGGAAGGAAAAGGGTGATATCTGGCATCCTCCTAGGGTCCTCTGCTGAGCTCCCACTTCTCTGACATCTCCCAGTCCAGCCACTCCCCACTCTGTCACACATCAGAAACCTCTGCAGTGGGTTAGGGATGCACATCCTTTTGTCTCACTCCCATTCCAGCTTCTGATTCAGTCTACCCAGGACCAGCAAGAAACATGCATTTTAAAATCACTCTCCAGGGAATTCCGATCAGTCCGTGTAGGTACCACGCTTTGAGAACCGTATCCTCCACACAGCTAACGCTGGCTCCTGTACTTCTGACTTGCTGGCCCAGGCCCTGCTGGTGAGTGAGTGAGAATGGGCCACAGAGGGAAGGGACCCTCACTCCCTTTGCCACAGGGGAGAGAAGGGACAGCCACAGATAAATGCTGGGCCAGAGACTTGGTGACCCTGTGGAGCAAGGGTGGAGATGAGGACTTTGTTCTAGACATCAGCAGGGCAGGGAAAAAAGCTGGCAGTATTTGCAGAATCACTTCTGGTCTAACAATCCTGGGATAACTGGGGATGTCCAATTCCTAAATGGTACAGAAGGGTGCTAGCCAGATATACAGCTTCTCAGGTTCACCCTGAAATTTGACTGTAGCACAAAAAGACATGTGGGGCCTAGCAGCATCCTTTCACTTCTAAGCCAAACTTTCTGAATGAGATCCTGCAGGCAGAGGCATCTCTGTGGTTGGCCACAAGTAACAAATATTAAAATTAACTTCAAATATTAGGTTAGCACTGTGAAAAAATAATAATAGTTTACCTGTTCCTTGTACTATTTAAGGTGTATCTCATTGAATCCTCACAACAGTCCAGTGAGGGGACTAGGGCTCACGATGACAAGTTTCTTGCCCATACTCACTAAATGTGCCTTAATAAGCTTAAATTGCTTATAAGAAATCCTCCCTTGTGCCTTGTTATCCTCCAGTTGTATGGAGTTAGGCAAGTCCCTCAAAGGAGGAAAAAAAATGTGTAGATTTCATAGGCCGGAGATTTAGCTCAGTGGTACTGCCGCCTGCCTCGCAAGTGCAAGGTCCCAAATTCATTCTCCGGTACCAAAAAAAAAAGTACAGATTTCAGCAGACATTAACAAACTGCCCACTGCTGTTGTCACCAATGGGTGCACAAATCTGGTTTAGTTGTAAAGATGGCGTCACTACCCGGAAACTGTGCTGTAGGCTTAGTCAGTGTTTGGGCCTCAGGTAAGGGGAGCCAGAGTGGGGATGTGCCTGGAAGGTGGTTGTAAAACCCTCTCCCGTCAGCACCAGGGCTAAGCATAGCAGTAACCATCACAGGGCAGGAAAAGCACTGTGTCAATACAACCATCTTTTTTCTTTTCCTTTCTCCTTCTTTTTTTTGTACTCAAGATTGAAGCTAGGGTTTCTTGCATGTTAGGTGAGTGCCCTCCCACTGAGCTACAGTCCCAGCCCCAATACAACCCTTTTGCCTCATTTTGATTTCACTAAGTCATACTCCAACAGCACCAGACCAAGCTGCTCACGTGGGGTTGCCCTTATAATTCTCACATTGTTGTATCAGCCCCTTACAACTATGTATTGTAGCAAAACAAGCTTGAATGTTAGAGTCACAGGCAGAGGATGGAAAGAGCACAGCACAGTTTTCCTTTGTCCAAGATGTTCCAAGACCCCCAGTAGATAACTGAAACCATGGTTATTAGCAAATCCTGTATGCATATGATTTTTTCCTATACATACTCATCTATAATAAAGTTAAGCTTATAGCTATTTTAAACCAAATTATTTTGTTTTAAATTAGGCAGAGCAAGAGATTACCAATAATTTATGATATGCCAAAACAATTATACTGTAATAAATTTTTAAACATTTATTTATTTATTTGTACTGGGGATCGAACTGGGGACCTTGCACTTGTGAGGCAGGCATCGGAACCACTTAGCTAAATCCCCAGCCCTCACCTTTTTATTTAAAGGAGGTACTGCGCGGCTTCTGTATCCAAATGGGTAGCATCACTACTCTTGCATTTTGGGGAAATTATGAAGTAAAATAATGGTCATTTGAGCATCAGCACTGCAAAATCTCTGCAGTCAATCTGATAACTAAGATAGCAGCTAGTAGGTGAATAATGGGCAGGATAGTTTCTGCAGCATAGATACCGTGGACAAAGGATGATTCATGTACAGATGGGATGGAATGTAACCATGCAAGTTCTCACCACACTAATCGGAACAGTGTACAGTGTCAAACTTATAAATTATTTATTTCTCGAAGTCTGCTTTTATTTTACTTTATTGAACCCACCAGGGCTCTATCACTGCATGACATCTACATCCCTTTTTCACTTTCTTTTGAGATAGGTCTAGTTAAATTACCCAGGCTGGCCTTCAATTTGTGATCCTCTTGCCTTGGGCTCCTCAGTGGCTGGAATTACAGGACTGTGCCATCATGCCTGACTTCACTTAATATTTCAACACCATGGTTGACTGCAGATAATGGAAACCTCAGAAAGCAAAACTGCAGATAAGCCAGAAGCAGATAAGGGGAGGAATACTGTAGAGCATGAGATCAAGGTATGAGCTCTGGATCACGTAGATCTGTGTTCAAATCCTGCCTCTGTGATTTAAAGCTATGAGACTCGGGCAAGTTACTTAACTTTCTATGCTTAGGCTTCTCCTTATATGTAAACTGAGAATAATAGCAGTGTTTATTTCATAGGTATAATGTAGTAGAAATTATTGAGCAGAATACTAATTAGTACACAGTAAGCACTTAATAAATATTATCAAGGGTCCCAGCCATGGTATTTACATCATCCATGGAACTTTAGACAAGTTATTCAGGTCTGGACTTGTTTTCTGTCTTGTAGGATGGACATAATAACCCCTCTAGGGCTGGGTTGTGACCAGGATTATATGAGAAAAATATCTAAGTGTCTACATAATAAGCTCTTAACAAATGGTAGCTATTTTTAACAACCCAGTGACAAAGAAGACAGGTTGGGGGGACAGTTATCAAGACAAATGGGTCAACGAGAGATCCCTAACTCCCCCAAGAGCTGCCCCAGACAGTGAGGGCTACTACTGTCAACTACGTAACTATCCTCGGGGAAGAAGAGAGAGGCCAGGCAGCCAGCCCAGAGATCTCAGGGTTTCATTTCCCAATGCAGACTGGAAACCTGGGGTCCCAGCCTGGGCAGTGCCTGGCATCTCCTTTGGCCTGGGAATCAGGCAGCCAACGTGGCTGGGGTGAGTCGTGAGATGGAGTTAGCAAGAGCTCTTCGGGGAAAGGTCAGCCCAAGGGAAGTTCAGCAGGTTGGAAGTGGACACTCACTTCCAAGCCAACCCAGCAGTAACAATGCCTCTGCCCATTTTTAGAGATAAAGATAGGGGAGGAAAACTAAGGGACAGGCCCCAGGTCGCACAGCAGGAGAAAGGTTTCTGATTCCAGTCCGCTCCAGGTTCAGGAGTGGGATTGGCACATGTACAGCACCGAGGGACCACTGGTGCGCCTGAGTGGCGGGCTGGCCCTGCCGCCACCTCTCTGATCCGCCCAAGTAAGGGGATCACGTGGTCTCTGCCGGGTCCTGCTGATCCCGCCTGCCGCCCTCGACTCACCGTTGGGCCCGCGGACAGGACTTGAGTCTCAAGAGCGCCGGTCTGGAGACAGAGGTGGGGGCCAGGCGCGGCCCCGGACGGGGCTGGGGCCGGGGAGAGGCTCACTCGGCGCGGCTGGCTCTGTGGCCTCCCGGGACTAGGAAGGGGGCTGGAGCAAAAATGTTTCTTATTCCAGCGTCTTCCTGCCTGGCCCCGCTCCACCACTCCCTCCTAATAAACCATTTCCTATTGCCCAGCGCGCCGACGGGCCGCCAGCGGGGAAGCAGTACCGGGCCCCTCGCGCCGCTCCCAGACCCCAGGCCACCCCGCTCGAGGGTCTGGGCCTGTGCCCCCGCCCCAGCTCCCACCACAGCCTCCCCGAAGGCCGGGCCTTGAACTCGCTCTGGGGTTCCTGTGGGATCCAGGGCCTGAGCCATGGGGGCCACAGCCGAGACAGGGTGTGCGTGGGCCGTCTGATGGCTGGGGTTGGGGGCGCTAGGGGCATCCGGCAGGGTGGCACTGAGGGAAGGACACACGCAGGGGTGGCAGGGAGAGGGAAGTTACTTGTCCTTACCCCACCTTAGACTCCAGTTCTTGGTCTAGGAGGCTCAGAGCAGCAGTGAGGGCAGAGTTTGTGGCTGGTGGGGTCCAGATAGATTTTGGCTCCGCCCTCTGGGGGCTCTGTCCTTGGTCCAAATCCTTCTGTCTCCTCCCTTGCGTTCCTTCCCACATCTCCTCCCCTCCTCTCTGCCTCATAGGCTTCCCCATCAGCTACCAGCACAGGGGTAAAGAGGACCAGATAGGGGCATCTCTGGACCTGCGATGATGGTCCTGCTCCTGGCGTGTGACAAGGACTCCTGCGCCACTAAGGGCAGCTAGGATGGAAAAAGATGCTGGGATCTGCTTGGACTTTCCCCTTCCGGGAAGACCTCCAGCCCAGCTACTGGAGCTTCAGAAGTGGGGAACAGTAGCTGCTGGCTTCACTGCCGGGGAGATACAAAACTCTTTCTCCTGATGCTGAAGGCAGAGCTCCCTGCCTTGCTGGCCCCTGGCCATGGTGAGAAGGACTCGGTTTTGTTTTTTTTTTTTGATCCCAACCTCCTGGTTTGCAAGCTCTCTGAAGTCAGCCTACCTGCTGAGAATCTGGGTTGCTTGTTTGACCTTAGGCAAGTGACACCTGTTTGTGCTTCAGCATGCCCATCTCTTATGGGCATAATGCACAGTGCCAGCCTCCTAGGGATGTGGGAGAAGGCACAATACCTATCTCAGTTCATAGCAAAGGTGCCCCTGGCTGAACCTGAGCAGGAGTAGGCCCTCCTTCCATGAAGGAGTCTATTAATTAGGCTAACACATGCAAAACCTGGGGACGAGTGACATTAGCGCTCAGTGAGGCCTCCAAGATGTCTTGCTTGAGCGAGGAGATTTTGCAAGATGGGTCTCACACACCACCTCGGTCCTATGAAAGGAATAGAGGCTGGGGGAGGCAATGGCCACAGGCTCAGAAGGCACCAATTGTTGATAACTCACTTCCTCTGCTAAAACCCTCCCCAGACCCTCCCGGGCTGCTTCACCACTTGTGAGTCGGGTGAAGTCTCAGAACCCTGCCACACCCGAATTTCAGTGTCCTGCAGCCAATAGGAAGTACTATGGGATTACGGTATCTGCTCTTTAAGATTATAACAGCCACTTTGGCACTGCATTAGCTGCAGAACTGGGAGCGTGGCTGTGTGGCCATGTCTTTCACTACCACTCTCCCCCTGCTCTGCTATGGCTTCTGGCCAACCTCTTCCTCCCCCAACTATGGATTGCTGTCCTGTGAGGTGGGAGTAAGGGCTGTGGGTCAGGACTCTAGGGGAGCTCCACAGCCTAAGTTCAAGTCCTACCCGCCTCAAGGAAACAGATGAAAGAAATCATTGAGATCAAGAGCTGCGGGGTGGTGGGGATGGGAGACTTTGTGTGGGGGCGGTTCGTGAAGCAGATAAAAGTAGAGTAGGTTTCATGATGAGGAAGAGAGAATCAGTGGGGGATGGCCCTGGAATCTTCTCAGCCTGCCCAGGGCAATGAGCCCTCTGGATCCTGGCTGGTTCTTTGGGGGCTCTTGCAAACCCCTTGCCTCCCACAGCACACAAAGAACATGGGGAAAGTGTCAGAGGAGGGAAACAGACTTGGAGAAAGCACTGGAGCCATAGGCCAATGAGGACATGGAAAAAGAATTACAGACTGTGTCCAAGTCTACAAGAATTAACTACGCAGAGGGACCAGCTGTTCCCTGTACTCAGTGAAGACAGAACAAGAGGAAACAGGCCCAAAGGATTCTGATGGAGATTTTGGTATGCAGAGGGATTTCCCAGTGGTGCCTGAAGCAGAGGCCTGGAGCTTGGGGGTCTGTGCGTGACAGATGCCATGGAGGGGCATGTACTGTCAGGAAAGCAGGGCAGTGGACTCCTTGACCTTGTAGGATTAGCAATGAGTAAAATTCAAGCATTGTGTAGCCTAGTGCAGGGCCAGCTTCATGGGTCTGTGACCTGTGCAGATATTCAGGGCTCCACACATGGTTTAATGTTCTTCAGTTGTCCTCTTGAAATTCCTCACAATATTTTAAATATTTGAACAACAGGCCCAAATTTTTCATTTTGCACTGAGCCCCACAAATTATGTATCAGTTCTGTACCAGAATAAATAGAGAGAAAAGCAAAGGAGGGGAATTAGCGGAGGGTTAGCTAAGCTTTGTTCTACTTAAATTGCAGAATAGAGGGCTGGGGAGGTAGCTCAGTGGTAAAGCACCAAAAAAGGAAAAAAGAGGGGCAAAATGCAGTGGGAAAATTAGATTAGACAGCCTGTTTTTTCAAATGCAAGAAATACAAATCTAGTAGAACAGGGTGTTGTGGGGGACAATTAGGGATCTCTGAGGGAAAAGTGGGGCAGATACCATTTGCCTATTTATTTAAAACATAGGAGAAATTTTTAGTGAAGTGAACTGAATGGAGTCCGGGTTTTGCCAGGAGGAAGAAGGAGAGGAAATGACCCTCCAGGTGTCCTTCAGGTCAGGGTGGAAAGCGTGATGGTATTCTGAAAAGATAGCATGAGTAATGAGTCCTGGGTTCCAGGCCTGGATCACTTCCTTGTGCCTCAGTTTCCTCCTTTCCACACTAAAGTATTTAGGCCAGAGAATCCTGAAATTTCCTACCAGCTATTCTTTGGCTCTAAGATTTAAGAAACTACCTGGTCCCAGTTCTGTCACCATAATTTGGGTCAAAAGGTGATTTCACTGGTACCTGGTTCAGGAAAAGTGGGGAAGCCAGAGCTCTGGTCAATTCCCCAAGAAGTGGTTGGCAGATCCCAGCTCTGCACAGCTGAGCCATATTCCTCTATTCCAGATCACCTCTGGATGGGTTTGTCTACTCCCTGTCTGCCTGAGCTCTCAGGATGACTCATCTCAGGACAGAACCTGAGGGAAGGTTCTGTGATGAGGGAGGAATGTCACATCAGGGCAGGGGAGACTGGAGGTTAGAAGGTGCCATTGGATGCCACAGGGGGTGGTCTCTGTGGCATATCTGAAGATAAGATTTAAGGAAGCCGTTCCAGTACCATCTTCTTTCATCAGTGCAGCAAGCTCTGGATTGCCCCTCCCCATATGCTTCTTGGAGTCCTGAACTGGCTCCACCAAACTGGCCTGGCATCAAGGGACAGGAGAATCAGCGGGAAAAGTGCATTCTGGGAGTTGCGGCACACGCATGTCAGCCTCAGCTTCTATACCTGTAGGAAGGGGTTGATAACCCCTTCTCTACCACATTGTTTTTTTTTTTTTTTTGGTACTGGGGATCAAACTAGGGACCTTGCCCTTGCAAGGCAGCGGGCAGCACCACTGAGCTAAATCCCTGGCCCTCTACCACATTCTGAGACCAACAGCAAAGCATATGAGCACATCTTCTATCAGCTGTGAAACTAACCAGCTATCTGGTTTGCTGGGAGGGAGAAGGCAGATTTGTGGGACAGGAGAAAGAGCACTGAACTAGGAGTAAGGAGACCCAAAAGCAGTTGGCATGTGTGGCAGCGGCACGGCTCCTGTTTCACCTGCTCAAAGACAAGTTAATAAAGGTTATCTCCTCTAATAGCTACCCAAGGGGCTATTACACAAATGAATATGTACCACTGGAGGAGGGCTATCATGCATGAGGCAGCCTTTTTTTGGTGGGGGGTAACCAGGGATCGAACTCTGGTCCTTGTGCTTTTTTTTTTTTTTTTTGGTACTGAGGATTGAACTCTGGTTCCTGCGCTTGCAAGGCAGAACCACTGAGCTAAATCCCTGGCCCTGACATTTTGAAAAAGTTAAATAAAAAACAAGCACAGTGAAAAATAAGGAAATGAAATCCTCAAGAAAGTGTATAATGAGCAGCAATTGTACCCATCTCAAGATCCTCTTACTGGGGACACCCCTTCTGTCAAAGTTTCAGCTACGTGTTTGTTTTAGTGACATTTGCCTCAGTAACTCAATCATGTGTGCATGACTGTCTTTACATTTTAAAACTTCAGGCCTTATTCAAAAGCTTCGGGTTTAAGTCATTTTGATGCTCTCCCTCCGATATATGGTATTATTTTGTAAATTTAAATAGTATAGCCAAACCTTTAGTCCCTATTTGATTGGTCCCAGAAAGGATCTCCTGGTGCTTCTCTAAATAAGAACATGTGAGTGTTGCAACTCCCTTCCCTGGAGCTGCAACCCTGATGCAGAAAAGGAAGCTGTGTTAATTCACCCCAGTGAGTGACCTTGGGCTGGGGGTGTTCCAGTGAAGCCAGTCACCATGGATGCCTCCAGGGCCATGGTGAGCATTTTGGATGGTAAAGGTCTTCCTGCAGCATCTGGACTTTTCCCCATTCCAATGAAAAGCTAGTGCTGGATAAGAAAAGGCAGAGGCAACTGGCAGAGACTAGGGGAGGTGGTGTTGTGAGGTCCCTCGAAGCCTGAGAGTCTGAAGACTTACAGTAGCCACCTTCATGGGAAAGGTGTTTGGACAAGGAGAGAGTCCTCAGGTCCTCAGGATTTGAGGGTATGTAATGGCCCGCACTGCAAGAGAGATTGTTTGAAAGACGGGACTGAGTGGCTGGGTGAGGCCAGAGGCCAGGGAGATTTCCTTCAGCTCCAGCCACTTGAGTGGGTGGGACCGGATTACTCATGCTGGACACAGGAATCTGCCTTTGTTTCCAGATGGAGGGGAAATGCCATGAATCCTGCCCCTTTCCCGCCCCTCCTGCAAATGAACCTAGGCTCTGCCCTTCCCAGACCAGAGGGCTTGGGACTGAGGGGCTCAGGCAAGCTTTTGTATCCAGGGTCCCCAAATCCGCAGACTTCTGCCCCTTCATGCGCCCAAAGCAGGACACTTGCACAGATATAGGAAATATGGACCCAATTCAGTATCAAGGCTGATCTGGACTAAATAGGCGTGAAAGAGTTCAGGTTAGACTTGCTCAGCCTTCTCTTTCCCTCAGAATGGCCCTGGCTTTCCACAGCCAAGAAAGCTATATGGTCTGAAGAGTCCACCTAAGGGCCAGGGTCCCTTCAGAACCCTCAACTCCTGCTCTTGATGGTCAGACAGACTCAGGAACTCCCCCTCAGTTGCACTAGCAATGTGTGGAGCTGGGCACACAGTGTCGGGGTGGAGGATGGGAGGAGAGGATGGACCTGGGACCCAGGCAGTGGGTGCCCCTGTGCTTATTCTTGGTCAGTGAGTCTATGCGTTTGTGTGCCTGTGTGATTAAATGTGTTCCCATGTGCTAGCATGTGTGGCCCCTCTATGTATGACTGGGAATCTGTAGGCCAGTGGGCCCGTGTGTCTTGTGGCTGTGAGTCTGCAGGTCCCCATGGGTCCTGGCTGTTGCATGCCTATGTGTGGCATTTGCATGTGTGATTATGGTTGGAATATCACAGTTTGTCTATCTGGTCAGGAGTCGGCAGGGTCAGGGGCTGGTGAGGGAGGGCCAGGCCTTGACCTCAATTTCTCCCTTCAGATCTAGCTGTCTTCCTTAACGGTGGAAAGCAATGGCCCTTCTGAAGGCAAGGAGACAGGTGAGCAGATCCAAACCTCTGCAGGAGTCCTGTGTGAATAGGCTCCCTAGTGTCACAGAGAGCTGACAGGTGAAAAGTCCTGAGAGGTCAGGACAAAGGTCCCTGGTATGGGACAAAGGGGACACAGACAAACGAGTCCCCACCTGTTCTGTCCTCCCTCCATATATCTAGAGCTTTGCCTTCTCCTGACCCAACAGGGGTTTCCTAGGGCATGCTCTGGTGTTACTGGAAACACTGCCACTCCTAGGACCAGGACAGCTCCAGAGAGGTATAGGCAGATGAGAGGCCTCTCTATGCATTCCGGGCTTTAATGGAACCTGAACTCTATTCTTTACACATTTATTAAGGCTTGTATGAGCTAGGCACTAAGGATACAGAGATGGTCCTTGTCCAGGGGTCCCTTCCAGCCTGGCTGACATCCCAGTGTATGTTAGAACAGCAGACTCTGTGGTCCCACCTGGAGGAGACCATATGCCAACATGGGAGGGGTTGAATGCTCCCCAGGGAGCAGCTCGGCCAGCCAGCGGTGTGTGGTGACACTGTTGGCCTGGGAGTGTGGCTGGGCTGAGGTGCAGAGAGGTGCAGGGGCTAGTCTGAGGTTTCTGGGCCAAGTCTTCATTTATAAGGGTTGACACCATGGTATCCTAAAACCCCAGGCGAGACCACAGACTGCTGCTTGCGTACCAGGTCTGAGTGTTGTGCTGGAGGTGCTCAGGGTCTTACGTGCCTCTTGCTGTTTTGGTTGCCCAACAATCCTGGGGAGTGGCAGTCATTATGAAGTTTTTGATGGATGTTTTAAAGGAGGAGACAAAGGCTGGGAGAAGCAGGGCCAGGGGAAACCCCAGGTCTGTTGAATTCCAGAGGCCACAGCAAGGCAGCTTCACTGAGGTCTGCATTCTGTGCAGACAGGGACCTCGTAGGTTTCCTGGCCTCTGCTGGCCTTGGAAGATGGGTTTAAGGAAGAAGTGGCCATTAGAAGAGAGACAGCTGAGTTTTGGAGGCACAAGCGGAGCAAGGCTAGGCCTCCAGGTGTCTCTTCTTTCTCTCTGATGCGCCTGAAGGGCTGCTGGAAAGAGGAGTGAAGGCCATGTCAGAAGCTATTAGGAGATTAGAGAGAAACAGCTTGGCCTCAGCTGGGTGTGGGTGTGTATGTGTGGGGCACTGAGCAAAGGCCTGGGACTCTAGTTGTCCTGGAGATGGCCAAGGATGGTGGGGAGGCTCCCTCTGCTGGAAAATGTGCCTTCAGCCTGCTACCCTAGATCCAGCCATGCCGGTCAGCCTGGGCCCTGCCAGTGCTGGGGTCATCTCTGAGCAGGTGAAAGTTGGGAGGGCTGGACTCAAAGAATCAGAGAAAGCTCAGCTGTGGGCAGAGGCCTTGTGCTGCAGAAGAGCAAACCCAGGCTTCAGAGTCTGCCAGACTTGAGTTCTAAGCACCACATTGCCACTTAACAGGTGGTGACGCTGGGCCAGTCACGTAACCTTCATAGCCTCAGTTTCCTCAACTCTCCAATTGAAAGGATGTGAAAACCACATAAGAGGGTGATGCTGGGCGTGGTGGCGCATACCTGTAACCCCAGCACTCGGAAGGCTGGGGCAAGAAGGTCGCAGTGAGTTGGAGGCCAGCCTGGGCTATATAATGAATTTAAGGACGGCCTGAACTACATAGCCAGACCCTATCTCAAAACAAAAAAAAATGTGGGCTGGAGATTTAGCTCAGTGGTACCACCACCTGCCCCCCAAAAAAAGTGATATTAACAGCCAAGTATGCTGTTGATGCTGCCTTTATCTCTTCGCTTGTCGCCTAGCCTTCCTTATGGGAAGAGTGAGCATGTTATCCTTACCTCCATCCTATGCATGAATGCTGCGAGGTTCACACAGGTTAAATAACTTGGTCAAGATCACAGCCCAACTCCAAGGCCAAAATGCCTTACTACCATGCAGTTCTAAGACTGGAGTGACAATTTCTGCCCCATCTGGAACACCAGCATCAAGGCTGTCTTCGTGCACTGTGATTTCAGCAGTGGTGAGGTGGAAAGAACTCTTCCATTCTGTACTTCCTGAAGTAGATCAATCAAACTCAGTTCCCAGGGCCTCTTTTGACAGCACTTTGTAGTCTGCAGAACTCTTTTCCCCATGTAATCTGATGGATCCTCCTAATAGCTGTGTTTTCCCCACTGTAGTGATGTGAAAGCTGAGGCAAGTGAAACTTAGTTGTCTTTTTTTTGGGGGGGTACCTGGGGTTGAACTTGGGTCCTTGGGCTTGCCAGGCAGGTGGTAGAACCTCTGAGCTAAATCCCCGGCCCTGAAACTTAGTGTCTTATTCAAGATCACACGGGAAAGAAATAGCTAGAGTAGCTTCAAGACTATTTTAATCCTCCAGTTACCTTCAGAGCCCTCTGGGAGAAATCTCACTCCAGGCTTTGAGTCTTCCTCTCTCTCTCTCTCTCTCTCTCTCTCTCTCTCTCTCTCTCTCCCCTCTCCCTCTCTCTCCCTTCTCTTCCCCTCCCCCTTCCTCTCTCCCCTCCCATCTCTGTCTCTCTGCTCTGTCTCTCTCTTCTTCTCTTTCTGTTTTAGCCTATTCAAAGAGCAAATATATTTTTAAGTTTTTTAAAAATTGAGTAATACCTGATTAGAAAATTAAAATGCAGAATTCCAGGTAATTATGTCGATACTCTACCCTCAACCTAACAGGGCATGACTCCCGCTCCTTGAACAGGAGTCCTATAGTGACTTCCCTCCAAAGAGTACAGATAGGAAGAGGGGAAAGTGGGAGCTCAGAGGAGAAGGCTGACAACAGTACCTCAGCCAGGTGAGTAGCAGCAACAGTGATAGGTCTTCTTCACAGGATGTGTCCTTGGTGCAGCGTGATGAGAACTTGGTCTCTGTCTGTGGTCTTCTGAAAACCCATAACCCCAGTCCAGTGATGGTAAATATTTTACAGATGAGTGCCCAAATTGCAACCCAAAACCCACCTATTTATTTCAAAGTGTCAACACTGCAATTAAACCCGAATACTAAGGTTTATTTTGAAACATTTTATTTATATATGATTTGCCACCACTCAGGTATTTTCATTTCATACATTTTGAAGATAGTTTCAAAACAAAATATAAAAAGCTTCCTTATTCTTACAGTACTGGGGATAGAACCTAGGGTTGCTCTACCACTAAGCTCACTCCCAGATCTTTTTATTTTTTGAGACAAGGTCTTGCTCAAACTTGTGATCCTCCTGCCCCAGCCTTGTGAGTAGCTAGGATTCCAGGTGTGCATCAATGTGCCCAGCTCTTATGCTTGCTTTAGAATGCATTGCATAGAATGCAGGGTATTGGTGCACAGTAACTACCCCATAATCAACTCAGCCAACTCCCTACTGACGAACACTTGGTTGGCTCTACTCTTCTGCTGTTACAAACAATGCCGTACCGAATAACCATGTCCATAGGTTGGAAGAGGATTCACTTAGGCAGAGGTGAGTGGGAAGGCTTTATAAGAAGCTCTGGATGGGAATTGAGCCTAGGAAAGGAAATGGTTGCTTGCTCCCAGGTGGCCTAGCCCATCTTCCTCTAATTCTGTGCCCTCCTGAGCTCCTCTTCTTGTTGCTTTCTCTTCATCCTGAGCTCCTGATATCGCCAGAGAGGAAGGGCAAGACTTTGATGCCTTTCACATCTGGGCATCATCAACTTGGACTGGCTGGGGGATGAAGGTGCCTTGGAGAGGAGGATCTTGGGTACTAAGGACCTGGTATGGTTCTTGGGCTGTAACCACTGAGAGAACATGCCCTGAGGGTTGTAGGAGACAAAGACTTGAGAGCCCCGGATCACTTGGGGAGGCTGGGGAGACAAGGGAGGAGGTAGAGTAGTACTTAGTAGCTCTGGCACAGACTTGCCTCGGGTGCCCAGTTTGGGAGGATGATCAGGGCACAGAGTGTGGCAGGCAGTGGCAAGGAAGGGACTAGCCAGGCTGGTAGTGACAGCCACAAGGTGGTCCAGGACACCCCCTTCCTGAGGACACCGGGCAAAGGACAGATTCAGGGTGGCCTGCAACCTTTCTAGGAAGAATGGGGTATCCCGAGCCTGGGCCTGGGCCACAAGGCCGGCCATTCAAGCTGGTAGTGCTGGCAGAGTTGTTCTGCCCAGGGCCGCCGCAGCAGCTGCCGGATCCTCCGCACCATGTCGAAGCTGTCCGTCAGCAGGGCCCACTCCAGGGCTGTCTTGCCCCGGACAGGATCCACGGAGGTCAGGTCAGCACCTGGGCAGGGCACAGAGTGACGAGGGGTAGGACAGCGAATGGTGATTTGGGAAGGGGTGGATAATCGGCAGCAGGAGGACGGACTCAGGTTGGATTCAAAACCAGAATCCCAGCATGGGAGGCCAGTATTGTAACCTCCTATTGCGAGAGAGAGGAAGAGATCAACATCTAGCCAGGGAGAGACTGCAAGAGACTATTATGGGTCTCCAAACAGGTACAGCAGGGGCCTCCTGAATCCAAGAGCTGGGAGAGGAGTGGAAGACCTGTGCCTTGTGGACAAGTGCTCATCCCCTCTTCCATTTATCTCTTCATCACCACACTGCTGTAATCCCGGGTAGGGAGCACAGTCAAGCTGAGACAAGAAGTGTACTCTTTCCTTCTTACCCCAAACCCAGTCGGGTGGGAAGGGAAAGATGGAGGTTGGGATCCCCAGAAGGCGGCCCACCATGGGAAATATCAAGGGCCCATGATTCCACAGTGTGATCTCCACCCTGAATAATTGCACAAGACCACAAATCTCGACTACACATCATGGAGTCCCCTAGAGGCCTAGCTAGAGGTCAGAGCTGGAGGTCATCTCACAGAAGGCCAACACCCTCACCATGCTGCTGAGACACAGAGAGGAAAGCCGTGAGTTCAGGGTCCTTTACCCAGGGGCAAGGCCGGGACTAGAACCCAAGAGTCTTGTTCCAGAACCAGCCCTTCTTTGTCTTCATTTGTATAGCTGGCCTAAATTACTGTCCCAAGCTTTCCTTGCTGTGCCCTCTACAGACAGAGCTATCAATAACTGGACCTTGTTGGTGAGAAGCCTGAGGTGTGCTCCTCTCCTCCAGGAAACCAGCCTAGACTGATCCTCCATGTCCACCTCTCCCTTTTCTATATGAAATTATGACTGACTTAGTATGTGGTGGGGAGGCTTGGGGGAGAGACTGCAGGTCACACACCCAGTCCAGGCCCCACGCACCAGCCATGAGGAGGGTGGCCACACACTCAGCGCGGTCCTGTATGGCAGCCTTCATCAGTGCTGTGAGTCCCCGCTGATCCCAGCGCTCCAGATCCAGGCCGGAGAAGTAGTTGAGCAGGAGACTCACCAGAGGCACATGGCCTGCATGGCAGGGAGGGCAGAGTTTCGTTCCCCAGGAAAGGGGATGATGGGATTCCAAACCCACCCTGCACTCCAAACTGCACAGCCTGGCATGGTAGCACCTTGGGCAGTCAGGGCTATGGCCCTAATGGAGGTGGAAGATGGGGGTCAGCAGCCTCACACCTGCTTGGACAGCCAGCATGAGGGCTGTGTCTCTGTCTTTGTCCTGCTGGTTAACATCCAGGAAAGGACAGCGGCTGAGTAGGGCCACGACACTCTCGAAGCCTCGGTAGCATGCAACCATGAGGCCTGTCTGGAATTGTGGTGGCTCAGTCTCCACCTTCCTCCAGGGACTCCCTAGGGACCCATGCATCAAAGCCCACACCGTCCCAGGGTATGTCCCATCCTCACCCACTCCTTCCATCCTCGGACCCAAGCAGTGCGGATTGACCCTGAAACTGTCAAGGAGCCAGATCAAGGCAGTGTGGTGGGAAGACAGAGTTGCCCCACATTCCCTTGGAGACCCTGGGCACCTCACCCTCCATTGCTGTCCACTTGGATGGCCTCCTGTGGGGACACCCCAGCATTCAGCATGGCTTGGAGCTGGACAGGGTCATTGTGGGCACAGGCCCAATACAGGGTCCCCAGCCTGCAGCCTGAGGCAGGTGCCCCCTCGCCGTGGTAGGACAGTGCCTCTGACATATCCAGCGCCCCTCAAGTTTCTCCTCACGCAGCTGGCAGCTAGGACAGAATGGAGAGGAGCAGTGTCTCCCTGGATCCTGGGTGGGGTCCTTGTGGCTGTAACCCTTGTCCAAGAAAAGCCTTTATTTGGCAGGTGTCTCACCCAGGTCGAGCTGGAAGCCAGGGAGCCCGGAGAGGACAGGAGGGTCATGCTGAGTCAGTGGGGTTCACAACAAGGGCCTTACCTGGGGTTAGGTGAAGATCTCCAAGAGGTGGTTGTGGAGGGGCCCAGAGCACCCTCAGCTGTCTCGGAGCACACTCAGGGCTCTCTGGAGTGGTCAGGACTGTCCCTCCTCAGGAAGCAGTGTAGGAAACAGATGGCTGGACTTTCTTGGAAAGAGCTGTTGTAGACTTCTCGGGGCTGAGCCGGGTCAAGCAGGTTAGGAAGGGATTGAGGACTGGGAGAGGAGGGTGCTCTGGGTCTGGAGCCAATCAAGAGGCTTCCAAGATCCTGCCAGACTGGGCTGTGTCTGAGTGAGCCCTCAGCTCCTCCCAGTCAGCAGTACGGAGAGTAGGAGTGGTTTCATCTTCCTCCAGGCTTCTCTGCCAGTTGTGCTGCTTCCACCTGCCTCTCAGAGGCTGAAGGTGCCTTCCCTGGTCTGGAGCGGGACTTGGGGAGCAGGCAGAGGCAGAGAGGGTGTGAGTGCTGGAATCTCATGAAATGGGTTTGGTATACACAGGGGAGGAGCCCTCCAGGGGTTATCTGAACCCAACTTTTCAAATCCTGGGAAATCAAAGCCTAAATTGTCAATTTAAGAGTCTAGAATGATGATGTATTCAATTTAATGGATTAATTTTGGTGTAGTAATTAAATATGAAGTATTTAAAATTTAAAATTATTAATAATAGATTATTTAAAAATTAATTTTTTTGGGGGGGTCGGGGATTGAACTCGGGTCCTTGTGCTTGCAAGGCAGGTGGCAGCACCACTGAGCTAAATCCCTGGCCTTAAAAATTAATATTAAATTTAATGAAGTGGACTTAAGATGTAGAAAATTGAGCTAATCATATAACTCCACTTGTATTACTTTTGTACAGGACTGCTGTCTTGGGTTTTGTTGTTGTTGCTTTGTTTTGTTTTGTTTTGCGTTTGAGACAATGTCTCATTCTGTAATTCACCTGGCCTTGAACTTGTTATGGTAGCCTAGGCTCACTTCAAATGTACAATCCTCCTGCCTTAGCCTCCTGAGTACTAGGATTACAGATGTGTGTCACCATGTTTGGCTTATTCTCTTGCTTTTAAAAAATTTAATTTAATTTGATTTGTTTTTCATCCTTGATCCCCACACCCCTTTCTCTTCCTTACTTTACCAGTTGTCCTTTATGGATTCTTAAAAATGTACATTCCGTCAAAGAAGGTAGTGTGAATTGTGTATGTGCTCTTTTCTTTACTTTATTTTAACTTTTGTTTGATTATTTTTGATACAGGTTTTCACTATGTAGTTCAGACTGACCTTGAACTCATGGCAATCCTGCCTCAGCCTCCCAAGTGCGGGGGTTACAGATGTGCGCCACCATGTTCAGCCTGTGTATGTGCTTTAAACTAACCTGTTATCAGTTGTGCTCCCGAGCTCCATCTGTTTGGGTATGTTTCCCTCAATACCATATGTTGAAGGTCCATCCTGTAGTTAGCAGTGTGGAGCACATCTGCTTGTAAGTAAGTAGAAGCCGCCATTGGTAGTGTAATGTCTGTAGCAGGTCTACTGTTCAACATTAATCCAGTGCTGCTTTTAGTGTTTCTTCTAAACACTGCCTAGCTGGAAAGTTAAACAGCACTTCCCAGGTTCTCTTGAGCTAAGCATCTGTGGCTCAAGTCCTGCTCTTACACAAAACATAAATTCAGAACAAAGCATGGGACTTCAGTTTTGCTGTCACAGATCAGGACAGTAGCAGGCAGACTCTGGAGCAGCTTCCTGCTTCATCAGCTTCCTGTAGTAGCGACTTGTTTTTTTCAGTCATAGGCAAAGGTTCACGTGACACTTAAAGCTTGGCGTTGTTACTGACCTAGAGCCTACATTTCCAACCCTTTCTATTTCAACTAACCAGATTTATTTTTATTGTTCACAACTGATTCTTACTGATGCATATGGCTAAGAAATTAGGGTTTATTTTACACAGGATTAAAAGTTCAGGTATAAAAACAAGCTGTTGGTGGTGGTGGAGCAACTTGATGTCAGGGCCCTGTCTGGGATTCTCTTATTTTCCCTCTCAGCCACAAGATGGGTGCTATACCTAGCCATCGCATGAAATGTCAGGTCACTGGATCTTAGGCTGGGTGCTATCAGGTTGCTCTCTGTTCTGCAGTATGCCCACCCACAATGCACACATTTCCCTACATTCTGGCTAACACTCCTCATTGCTCAGCCTTCTAAATTTTGTCCATGAATGGTACAGAACTATAAAGCAATATAGCTATTCAACACTGGATTTTTCTGATTAGGAACAAGATGAACATCTCTCCCCATGCTCTCCTTACCCCTCCTGGGAATTGCCTGTTCATGGCCATTGCTCAGCATCCTATAGGATTATTGTTTTGTTTTGTTTATAGAAAAATCTTTTTTGTTGTTGTTTTACATCATTTTTTATGAGTGCATACTGGCTATACAGATCAGTGAGGTTTTTTTTTTTTTTTTTTTTTTTTGTACCAGGGATTGAACTTGGGACCTTGCGCTTGTGAGGCAGTGGAACCACTGAGCTAAATCCCTGGCCCCACATCAGTGGGTTTTATTTTGGCATATTTGTACATGCACGTGACACTTTGGTCATGCTCACCCCTCTTGTACTTCTTTCCCCCACCCCCAGTTTAACTTTTGGGAAATTTCAATGTGTAATATTTTTCTTACTTGTTTTATGGGTCTTTTCACTGAGCTATAGCCCCAGCCTATTTATTTATTTCTTTGCTTGTTTATTTATTTATTGAGACAGGGTCTTGCTAAGTTGCTGGTTTGCACAGGCTGGTCTTGTACTTGTTATCCTCTTGCCTCAGCCTCCTAGAATGCTGGAATTGTAGGTGTATGCCACCTATACACTTGACAGCATATAATATAAAGCCCACCAAAAAATGTATACATACTTCAGGAAAAGAAAAAATTATATATAAATATTTTAATACTAAATTTATTGACACATGAGATTCACACAAGTTACCTTTGGCCTCTACAATTACAAGAGGTGCTCTAAGTGGTGGCCAGTAGCTTCCAGACATTTATTAGTGCAGCTGCTTGGGTAACCTTGGTCACTGGGATCGCTGCACATGCATTTTCGATTTCTTCTCTAATGGCCTTCAGTAGTGGGTTTTTGGTGATTTGTGACATGGTCTAGGGTCTCCCATACAGGGTAACACCATCTGATAAAGAAAAAATCATACTGCTGGGGATGTAGCTCAGTGGTAGTGTACTTGCCTAGTGTGCATGAGGCCCTGGGTTCAATCCCCAGCATCCTCTCTCAAAACAAAACAAAAAAACCCATCATGCTATTTTTCTTTTCCTAAACTGTGTATACATTTTTTGGCAGACTCTGTATATTTTGCTTTTGGTTTTTTGAGACAGGGTCTCACTGTGTAGTTGAGACTGACCTGGAACTCACTATGTAGCCCAGGCTGGTCTCGAACTCACAGCTATCCTCCTGCCTCAGCCTCCCCAGTACTGGGATTACAGGCATGCGCCACCATGCCCGGCTAGACTGTATATTTTGATCATATTTATCCCTCCATTACCTGCCCTTACATTCACCTCTCCCTCCTCTTTATTCCCTTCCTATTGTCTAATGATAGTCTTCCGTTTTCTTGTCATCTTTTTTAGATTCCACTTGTTAGGAGAAAACACGTGATATTTGTCTTTCTGAATTTGGCTTATTTTGCTCAACATCGTGATCTCCAGATCCATGCATTTTCCTACAAATGACAGAATTTCACTCTTCTTTGTGGTTGAACAATACTCCATTGTATACACATACCATATATTCTGTGTCCATTTATCTGTTGATAGGCATCTAGGCTGGTTCCATATTTTGCCTATATAATATGTTGACTTTAATTGCTTTGAGTGTATTCTAAGGAGTGTTATAACTGAATCGAATGGTAGCTCTATTTTTACGTTTTTTGAGGAGCCTCCATCCTGATCTCCATAGTGACTGTACTCATTTACATTCCCGTCAGCAGTGTAGAAGGGTTCTTTTTGGTCCACATTCTCATCAGCATTTATTGTCTGTTGTATTTTTAATGATGGTCATTCAGACCGGGGTGAGATAGAATCTCAGGGTAGTTTTGATTCATATTTTCTCAATGGCCAAAGATTTTTTTCATATACTTACTGCCTTTCTCCTTCTTTTGAGAAATGTTCAGTTCATTTGCCCATTTATTGACTGGGCTACTTGATTTTTTTTTTTTTTAGCTCTTCATATATTCTGTCAGAAGAATAGGTGTAAAGATTTTCTCCTATTCTTAAGTCTGTCTTTCCACTCTGTTACTTCTCTTACTGTGCAGAAACTTTCTAATTCGATGTGGTCCCATATGTTGATTCTTACCACTATTTCTTGTGCTGCTGGAGTCCTCTTCAGGAAGAAGAGGACTATGATAGCTTCAACTGTTTCCTTTATGGCTCAAAGACCATTTTTGATGTTCTAAAATTTTATTCTAATACCTAGATATCCCTTTTTGATAATTACTCTTTAGATTTTTATTTATCCTGTTTTGGCATATTGAAATTGTCCTTTGTCAATCCTGAAAATTTCTCTCCAAATACTGCCTCTGTCCCACTCTTCTCTCCTCTCTAGAACATCAATTAAACATATGTTAGACCATCTCAGGTTATTGCTTAACTTTCTTAAAACCTCTTTTTTTACTCGGCCATTCTGGATAATTTCGTTTGACTCTTCTTTTAATTTACTAATTCTCTCTTAAACTGTGTCTAATACACTGTTAAATCTATTTAATTATTTAAAAATTCTATGATTTTATTATTTGTTTTTTTTTAATTTTTGGTACTGGGGATTGAGCTCAGGTCCTGTGCTTGCGAGGCAGGTGGAAGAACCAGTAAACTAAATCCCCAGCCCAAAAGTTCTATGATTTTAAACTTTGTGGAAATGAAGTAACATCATTTGGTAGGCCGAATGATAGCTTCCCAAGATGTCCACATCCTTCTCTTATCTCCAGAACCCTTAAATACGTTACACGGCAAAAGCAACTTTCCAATGCGATTAAATGAAGGAATCTAGAATGGGAGGCTTCTCTGGACGATCTGGGTGGGCCCCGTGTAGCTGCAAGAGTCCTTATAAGAGACATAATGACG